AACTAAGATCAACACTGCGGCGAGGAAGCAAGGTCTGGCAGGAGCTTATAAAGGGGAGGTCTCCTGATGAGTAGATGCATAACAGGTGTGCTGGAAGACTCCAGCCCTAGGAGACCCACGGCGCACTCTGCTGGAGACAGACGGTAATCTCCAGATCCCAACAGTAATTTCAGTCCTAAAAGATAACAACAAGAGACAGAAGAGGATCCTCGGCGCCCTCTGGTGGGCAAGCCTGAGGATCCCAACATTTTTACTGTGGACAAAGGCTGCAAACTCCAGCAAATAAACCGAAGGAAATTTCAAAGGATCATAAATACAAAAATAAGACAAGTAAACACAAAAATTTGACTTTGCACTAATTGTGATTGATTGGCAATTTGTATTAGTTTTGCAGACCATAGCCATTATGTGTTTAATTGCTTAAAATCTGTTCCTAGCATATTTCAGAATGGCTTATGTAATTCAACTACTCTTCATTTCATTTTACCTTATTGTATTTTACGCTAACATTCTTGGAGATTCATCAACACATCTTTCTTTTGTAATCGTTAATTTTATCACATTGATCATTTAAATTCCACATTTTCTTTGAAGCAAAACTAAATGGCAGTTGCAACTGTTTGTACTGAAGACTGTGAATGACAAAAAAACACTGGTGTCGCATGGGCTGGGCATTCCCGGTTCTAGACCCAAATGATTCTCATCAAACCCCAAATCTTTTTTTTCCTGGAGATATAAGAAATTAAAATGAGGCAACCTACAATAATATATTATGAGAAGTTTTGTAATTTCCCAGCTTCTGTGAATGCAACACAGGCAGTCCGCCTTGTCCAATCAAAGAGGAATTGTGTGGAAGCTAACAATCATCCATGTTTTCTTGGCTATTAGCGCTGATAATATTTTGAGTCGAAATAAGTGGAAAATGTTATTTTTGTCAGGATCCGGGACTTTGCCCACCAGAGGCCGCCGTGGATCCAAGCCTGGGGAGCTTGGACTCAGCTTGATCAGCTGTTTCCAGCCTGCTGATTAAGGAAGCTTCCTATTTAAGCTGTGTTTGAATTTCTGTCTGTGCTGGATCGTGTGTCTTACCTGTGCCACCATGCCTGTCTGAGCCTTGAACCTGTGATTCTTCTGAGTTCCAATAAATATTGGACTTTTAATCCTCCCTCTGTGTCTGTGAGTCTGCATATGGGCTAGTAAAACCACCACATCATGACAATTTTAGATATCTGAAATTTTAATTTTGACAATGAAAAAAATTTATTGGAGATATCTAAAATAAATTCTTTCCAGCTAATAAATCTTAATTTAGCCTGCAATAGCGTCAAATCGTGCATGCGCAATACCACAGAACAACCAGCCACGCTATGCTATAGGCATGGATCCGGGTGACTTAATTATGAGCAGCAAGTACGAGCAGCAGAAACAAAAAGCCGTTATTTTCTAGCAAAAATGAGAAAGTATCGAGTTGCCCTTGTAAGTTGGACAAAGGGACCTGACAAAGATAAAAGCAGCATAATTCCAGACAGCTGGATAATTAATTTTGACAAAGATGATACAAATGACAGGACATTTCTTGTTGAATGCCAAACAACTAATAGCAAGAAGCCCTTCGAAGATGCTAAAGCTCTTCAATTAGCAGGCAAGTCGGTCTTACACAGGCTCACACTCAACATCACTTTTTTCTTACCAGTTACTGTATTATTAAGTACAGCAGCAAAAAGTTTGTTACACATTTATCAAAATGTGTATTATTATTTCTAAATGCCCTAAATAACAGAAGAAAAAAGATACAAAAAAGTGTATCCTTATTTTACTATTTTGCAATCTAGAAATTTGGACATATTCTTTCTGAAGTATTTATTAATTGCAGTGGTTAATTTATTATTTAATTTGTTCCTATAATCTAATGTAGAAAAAGAATCTACACTGAGAGCTGCTGAGCAGGAACTTGAAGCCTTGGAACTGGAACCTAAGTCCATGCCGACTAAGAGGATGAGAAAAACATAGCTGGACTTTGGTGAAGAATATGTTGGCTCTGGTAACAAGGCATCAGGGTCTGGGAATCCAAAATAGGTAATTTTACAGAGCTTGATTTTACACTATGCATCATTAGTATATTGGATCATCCATGACTAAATACTGAAAAATGTATACCTTTGCCTTAAGAAAAAAGGCCAAAGTTGCAGCTCAAAGACAAGTGGAGAATGAATTACTGTTAGGGATAATCAGTTCAGCAGAATCGTCAAGCAAGGAAAGCAATGATGTGACCAGAGAAATGCAGAACCAGATCAATGGCTTACATACAGTAAACTCAAAACTGCGGAACATGGTAGTTACAGTAAAGGCAAGCATCGACTGATATATTATGAAACATCACTGTATGTCAGGTGGTATAATATATTTAGGACTAAGGGTATTTCTAGAGATGCTGTCCAAATCTAAAAAGCAATTTCCCATATGTTGTCAGATAGGTGGCCTGCAGGCAGCTTCACCACATTTGGAGAATCAGGAGCACTCACAGGCACAATTGTAATGGATTAGGACTGTAATGGATTAGGATGGACCCAAAGACAACCCACAACCAGGTCAGTGAAACTTTAACAGTCTTTATTTAAGAGAAGGGCGGCACGGACTCCCAGGACGTGCGGTTCATGTTCAGCAACTGGCAGCTCCTACAGACAGAGTGGTGGTTAGTGACCAGTGGAGGCAGACAGAAGTGAGAGTTAAGGGCTTGGTCACTAACCTGGCCACAGAAAAACTCGGTTGGGCACAGTCTGGTTTCAGGAATGGACGGAGTCCGTGCTGGGGTAATCCAGGGTTCTTTGTCCAGGTTTGGTCCAGGTCTTTAACAGGGAGAGGTCCGTTAATCCAGCTGAGGTATCCAAGGGAGAATCCAGGGGAGTTTCCAAGTCCAGATCCAGTTCTACAATCCGAAAAGGCAAAGACAGTTTAATGGGCAGACAATCTCAATACTCACGGGCAGGAAGGGTCAGAACACGGGTAGACAGTCCAGATCACTGAGGCTGATGAGCAGGGCTCAGGCGGGCAGACAAAATCCAGAGAGGGGTCAGGCTGGCTCAAAAAACAGGGGCAAAAAACAGGTCGAGGTTCAGACAGGCAGACGGACAATCAGATAAGGCTGGAAGTTCTCACCGTTACGGCTAGAGACGTTCTGGCACTGGAGGCTGGAGGGAGGGAGCCTTTAAGCAGTTGGGGTGAAGTGAGAACAGGTGCACTTATTGCAATTAGCAGCTCCAGTGCCAGGAACGGGCAGACAAAATCCAGAGAGGGGTCAGGCTGGCTCAAAAAACAGGGGCAAAAAACAGGTCGAGGTTCAGACAGGCAGACAGACAATCAGATAAGGCTGGAAGTTCTCACTGTTACGGCTAGAGACGTTCTGGCCCTGGAGGCTGGAGGGACGGAGCCTTTAAGCAGGTGGGGTGGAGTGAGAACAGGTGCACTTATTGCAATTTGCAGCTCCAGTGCCAGGAACGTTACAACAATAAGTAGACATTTGTCTGTGTGATTGTGCTAGTAATAACAGCACAGTCTGTATCACTTATACATACTCATGTTAAACGAGCACTTATTTGAAGTCTGGGCCTGTATGTTGCGTGTCCCAAAAACGAGAAGAGTTAGTGACAGCACTTTAAAGATTTGTATTTGTGTTTTAGTTCTGTCAGTCCTATAACTTGCTCTTGTTTATTAGTTTAATCTCAGTTTATTTGTAGCTCCTTGGACAATGTTGGTCTTCATGGTTTCTGCATGTGTAAAAAAAAAAAAAAAATTCTCAGAGATTCACGCTCTGTAGGTGGAGGTGAGAAAACTTGTCTCAATCAACACTACAACTAACCAAGATGTTGACTGCCCCACCAAACATGATGGACCTGAGAGTGACGGCCCTGGGGAAACATCAATTTGCTCAACTTCCAGATCTTCACCAGTAAGTATTTCTTAATTTCTAATATTAAAGGTGGTATAAAAGATGTTTGTGGCTATTCAGATAAAAGTCTGTTAGTGGGTTTTTGAATAAAACACAAGCGAAAGAGCGGGTAGGTAGATTCACAGCTTCCTCCCCGGCCACACATTTAAGAAAACGTACTCAAGCCAAGTTCCGACATCAGGGCCTAGCAGACAGAGAATACGGATTCTCACATCATTTCAGAAACACAAAAAACCCAGTGGTTCCACTGAAAGTGCTAGACCCACAGTTTATTCCAAACACCCTATTCCACATAGAGTATCTTGGTACAAGTCATTAAGCAGTATTAATATACTTACAGGCTTTAAATAGAACAATATATAGGTTATTCGGCCAGTACTACCTACTTCTCGTGTGCCTGGTCTTTATCTGAACTTTTTCAAGCACCACTTTCTGCTGGTATCTGTTTACTATGTTTCCTCTGTCCGTCGTCCTGGCACCACCATCACTTATCAGTAGGGATGGTTCCAGCAACACCGTTGCATCGGTGCATGCATGGAGCCTATAGAACAAAACGCTGTGTCAGCTTGCGTGTCATTTCAAGAAAGTCATGTGACTGAAAAAGGAGTTTCTAACTGACTGACACACTAAACTGTGTTTAAAAATGTATCTACTGTATCAAGATGTATACTGTTAAATTCATCTGCTAAAATATGTCTCATCGTTTGTCATTAAGATTATCAAGAATTTTGGAGCAGCCTGAAAGGAATTGGAATGTTTCAGCTGTTGAGTTTTTGTTTTAATTTTCTCATTGTGTCATGACTTTTCTCTCAGTTATCACTCAACTTATCTGGATTAAAGTTCAATTCAAAGTGACTCTTAGTTTTACTTCACTTATTGTTTTAAAATTATGATTTAAAATCCTATTCCACAAGCATTCTCATTTTCCCCTAATTTCTGCCGTTGTGATATATGTTTACATTATTTATTGGCTGTATCTAAAAATATCAAAGATATTTTCAATTTAAACATAGATATGAAATAATACATTATAACCTACAATAACTTAAACTATATCATCGTACTAGATCGTCAAATCAATTCATTTTAGTCTGTCAAATAAGCTGCCTGTAGTGTCTTTAAAAGTCCAGCAGGTGTCAGAATTCTATGAGACAGTATCAATGCAGTATCAATACGGTTTTGCAATGTGTCAAAACGCTTCAAGATGCCTCATTAACCCATCACTACTTATCAGTAACAGCTGATTAAGGTTCTGTCCTGGAAAAATTCAGCTCCTGATTAACTCATGCTATCAAAGCAGAAGTGTTGGTCATATATCATTATCTGATGTCAAAATGATGTGCATCTCTGGAACACCTTTTGCTGAGGACAGTTGATCCATAGCTTTCAGATGTGGAGGGCACACGTCACCTCTATTTAAAATTATTGTGACGCCCATGGTTTGTGGCATTCTCTAGGGGTTTTGCATTCTAATGCTTGTAGTAACTTTCCTTGTTTAATCCTTGCTCATGCACTATTCAGTGGGTAAAAAATTGGGAACAACGATGTCACTGTCTCATCACGTTGTTAGGAAACTGCAAAACCTTGCACCACTGCCAGTGGTATTGCACGAGTGCTACTGCTGGGCCTCTTTAATGTTGAGTTCCTCCTCAAGTCCAACCTTAAAGGAGGGGCCAGCAAGTTGGATCCCAATACTGAGCGGCAGCAAGCTCTCAAACCCGAAGAAACATCAAGCTTAACAAGGTTAATAGCTCTGTGTTGGTTGATTTCCAATTTCTAATTTTGTCTCTGCCAGGAGGGATGTTTTCTTTTTGGTTATACAGAGAACCAGAGCAGGGGGGTATTGAGACAGTGGGACAACAACTAAGAAGAATGAAGTGGGTGATGATTGTTGTTCTTTCCCACAAATGCAGTTCTAAACCAGTTTCCGAGGAAGTCCATCAGCAGTGGAATCTGTGAGCCAAGAGACCAAGTGAAGCGGAAAAGCATGTTAGGATGTCAGTTTCATATTGTTTTTGCAGTGTCCCAACAACAAAAGGAGTTAGTGACAGCACTTTAAAGAATTATTTTGGTATTTTAGTTAGGTTTCATTACTTTCAGCAATAATAACACTTTTACTATGCCAAAAGTGTTAAATTAATCGAATTTATATTTTGTAGTTTATACTGATATGTTGCACTGTTACAGGATGGTAAGATACATTTCTGTGTAGAATTGAACTGTTAATAATTTGCTCTGTTATATTTTGTGTGGTTAAAAATGAACAATGCAATGTACAAACCCTGGAATTATGCCTATTTATAAGAAAATAAAGAAAGCTTTACTGTAGAGAGATACCCATCAGTCTGTGTTAATTATCATATAAACATGTATGCATATATAGGTGTGTGTGCTGGACGGCGGAATAGTGGTTAGCACTGTTGCCTTGCAGCAAGTAGGTTATTGGTTTGATTCCTGGAGTTTTTCATGTTCTCCCCGCGTAAACGTGGGTTCTCTCCGGGTACCCCAGCTTCCTTCCACAGTCCAAAAACATGGTTGTTAGGTTATTTGGCTTCTCTACATTCTCCTTAGGTGTGAGTTGTGCATGCATGATTGTGTGTCTCTGTGTTGCCCTTCGACTGGCTGGCAACCTGTTTTGGTTATATAAACACATATAATATATATTCATGTTAAACATATGGCAATATATGGAAATTTGTGTATTTTGCAATATATTGCTTTATATTATAAGAATATATAATATATTACAAAATATATGTTTCATCAATACATAATTCTACGTATAAAGAACATAATATATTGGAAATGTTGGGGGGAGTAACAATATATTTTGAAGAAATATTTTTATCTTTCGTAAGGGGTTACTTTTGTTTTTGAGTGGCTGCTATTGGTTTTGAGTTGTGGCTTCTTATATCCATTGCAACTTTTTTTATTGCATTGTGGCTGTTGTTTTTTTACCTGAAACCTCTGGTAGTCTGTCCGTCTATCTATCTACAAATGTCCTTACATTGTTTAGACAATTACGGTAGTAATATTTTTAACATTTGGAGAGAATTTTATTTAAAATCAAATACATTTACTGAAAAAAATAGAGGTATCATATACTTTTACCCATGTTTCCCTACAGGTTATTTCCTTACGTCCTTTTCCAAAGTGGCAATTCTATCCAAGCTTTTTTTTTTTTTTTTCTTCTGTGACTTCAGCTGTAAAGCAGTACTCTGCTGTTTACTTCCAGCTGTTTATCAGGAAGAGAAAAAAGAACACTAAAGGATGTCTCCAGCTGTGACGATGGCTTTGATTTTGATTTACCCTTGGCTGAAACACAAACAGACAAGCACATATGCAGGACAGGAAATCACTGACACTGTATATTAGGAGCAGATGCTTGAACCACTTGCTTGAGAATACGTGAGGGTTCAGGTAGATAAAAGGAATGAATGTAGCAAGTGGAAATGAGCCCTACTGTTGCTCAGATGCACAGCTAACAACAGCAGGATCACAGTGGGGAAAAAAACATACCCAGGATCTAAAGTTGGAAGAGAGAACAGATGGGGAGAATGATTTCACATCCAGGTCATACAATAAACATAAAATCACAGTGTATGAAAGGTATTGATAAGCACACTCCCATTAAATTGTTATGCCCTCTCATATAGCTTCACTCATTCAGTCCATAACAAACTCCAGTCACACCTATGGACCCGCTTCTGACTCCCTCGCTTGGTGCCTCTTCACTGCTTTTAACTCATGATCACATCCATCTTCAGAGCATGTCTCTGTGTGTTTTTTATGTGTTTACCCTCTGAATACAGCAGTGTTTATGGAGGTTACAAAGGAAACTTATGCAAAACATAACACATCTCAAGGTTTATGCTGCTTGTGTGCTGGATCTAACTCAGGATTTTGCTTTTTGGAATGTCTATGTAACCAAACTAGCAAAATTTAATTCCCACTGAACCATTATTACCATTTCTTCTCATGTCAATGTAGAAACTCAGGTGTTTATCTTTTTTTTCAGGCTTTCTCCAGTTGTGGTTCGTAAACCTTTTTTTTGTAGTCTTCTTTTTTTCTCTCTTCTTCAACACACCTGGTTTACGATGATTTGCTAATCCTTTGCAAAAAAATAAAAATGCATGCTGTTGAGGCAATTTATTCCTTTTGGCATTTAGACTAACTTGCACAAGCATTCATAATCCTTGAAGGTTCTTAGTAGCCACAGTACAATCATCAACTTTGGTGTATTTTATTGAAATTATATGATTAACGCAAAGTATGATCATGTTGAATGTTCATTCTTGTTATAAATAACTGTTACATCTGTTCATTCCTATATCTGTCCTCTGTGTGGGTCAGCCAAAATGGATAGTCTTATGATAACACATGGTAGCCAAAGCAGCTCCAGCATCATCTAATATGGCAATGCGCTGGGTTGTGTGATAAGGCCTGGATGCTGACTGGGGGCTTTTGGGTGAGACACTTCCTGGCTGACTTTTAGATAAAATGGGAAAGTGGGAAGAGGCTCTCTGTCTTTCAGGGGGTTCTCCCGTGAATGGTTGAGAGATAAAGGCCTTATAGAAGGTGAGATCTTCCTCTGCAATTTGTGCTTGTATATGCTAAATATGACTGGAGTAAATTCTATTAATGCTTAAAAATGTTTCCTACTTTGTGTATGTAGTATCTGCGAAACAATGCCTCTACAGATCTGGACCGGGTAATAAAAGGATAAAACAGCAATCATGAAGTGGAAAAAACATACAAGGTTGAAGTGTCTGTATGCTTTGCTTCCATTTTCTTTTGCAATTTTAACTGCAATTTTGGTTGCAAGCTTTAGATCATGTCTCAGTTATCTATTTATTTCAATTGGCTTCAGGTACATTCGTATGGAGAACCAACTCTGTAATATTTAAAAACAAATACAAAAATAAATAAAATGCTCAGCAAATAAATAAACATACAATTAATTGCCCCAAAAATACAATAAACAAATAAA